AAGTAAACCCRATGGAAGCAGTTTTATTGTTGAAGATAAGTGATATGCGTCAGGGTTGGGGGTTTTTAAGCAGCTGGAGTTGGTCTGAGCATGTCTGTTGGTGCAGATGTGTGTGGGGATTACTGGGAGYAAGACCAAGGACGGTGGCAAAATCAGAGAGGGATGGTCAGGCTGCGGTTGATTTTTCAGTTGGCTGCTGAATTTCCCGATTTTGTTTTAATTTTAGGCCAGGCTGTTCCCAAATTACCTGGCGCCATCCTCTCCCTCCGTGTGCCTCCATGGCRTGCACGAGGGAAGCTCCTGGAGTGTGGGAAAATGGTGTGAACTGGCACAGCGTGTCYTGGGAGAAGCGTGCTTGGATGTGGGGAAAGCAGCGGGTGTCRTGTGCGGGAGGCAGGAGAGGGTTTATTCCATTTTCATTTGAATAACAAGCATTGAATCATCTTTTCGGCTCAAGTGGGGGGAAAATCCAGATGRCTGTGTGCTTGCAGGAAGGTTTTATTGCAGCTAATAGTGGTGTTTGCTAAGGACTGTGTACACAAAGGTAGAAGATCAAATACTTTTGTGGCAATGCCTGTTTATTTTGGATATATGTGTTTTTCTGTGTTTTCRGTAGCCCCAGTAAGACCTGCCACACTCAGGGACACGTCAGGCAGCATTTGCTCRGTGTTTGTTTTAATACAGCACTTCATAATAGTAATTTCTCAATGGTCACTTGTAGCCTTTTATTCCAGATTGCTTTAATCAGCATTTGTGTTCTGTGTTGGCATTGCTCTGTCTTCTCCCGAGCTGTCTTTTCAAACATCATTGGATTTTTTCAAGTGAAATCTTCATGCTTATTGCATCTGTCACTTCTGGGATTCACTCCAAGCGAAAGGCAGGGATTCAGTTTAATGGCAATGAGGAGGAATGCGCAGAAGGGGGAAATATCAGCTTTTCACTGGGTGATGCAGCACGGGGTGCTGAGCTCTGCCCTCGGTGACATCGCTGTGGCCACGTCCAGCATTAGACTTTAACGACAGTTTCATAAAATAGCTCATTAAACCCAAATGTTGCATTGTGATGGGGAGGGGATTTATTGTCCCGGGTTTAATTTGGTGATCGATTCCGAGGAATATCCCTGGGATGCCAGCTTCCYATTCTGAAGACACGAGCAAAACACTTCCTGGCCTGAGTTTGCAGCTCGGTGAGGTCATCAGTGCACCACTCCCAGGGCCAGGAATGTCCTCTTGGGCAAGCTCACAGGCACATTTTCGCTTGACTTTTAAAGTCTGGGTTTGTTTGTTTTGATTTTGTTTTACTGAGGCTTTTGTGATAATCTCAGCCCTTCTCTGAGGATGTGTTGGAACAGAAACTCACKGAGGATTTGAAGTGCCCCAGTTTAAGCCTTTGCAGGGCATAAGAACAAGAATTAAATGTCCGTGCTCTCTTCTAGCTCGCTCCCTGTAGTCTCCCTTGCTTAATATTTTTGGGCTGGCRTATTCTGGTGGGTAACTCTGAAATTGGACTGATTAGAAACTGCTTAGAGCTTCAGATTAGTCAGCTCCTGGAACCATGTGTGAAAAGTCAGGCTATTGGTGGCTTTGGGCTGACAGGATGTGATCTGCTTCGTTTTTGTCATATTGTGCACTGTTGTAGGTGGTGGTGAACACTGAGTTAAAATAAAGCAGAAAAAGGTTTTAGGTTTGGCTGAGTGACTCAGGAAAGCAGCAGTGAAAGTCCATTTTTCTGGATGTGTTGGCTACACCAGTATGGTTGGGTATTGTTTACTGGGCCCTTTCTTTTTATCTGCTAATAGGATTGCTTTGTTCTGCTTTTCCTCCTGTGAGTAACCGTGAAAAAAAATGGATTATTTGTTTCTTTTTGAGGTTATAATTGTTCAGTACATGACTTGTTGTGGCTTTTTGCATCTCAAACCACACACAGGCATGTGAAATACCAGCGTGACACAGAACTGCTCAGCTGCTCCTGGGTCCCACTGGCAGCTTTGCAGGGCTTGTCCTTAGAGGAACAAATTGTCTGGAGAGGATCCTAATGGAATATACCAGCCATTAGTTGTGCTCATGGGTTTGTGTGGGGAGTATAAATCCAATCAGGATTAATGGCTGGAGATAATGATGTAGCTGGAAAGTAGAAGGCGGCTGTTGGGCAAGAGGATAATTTGACTTTACCCCTCTCCCATGGAATTCCTGATGCCAGTAAGACAGGGGAATCCCTTGGAGCAGACAACTTCCTAACAAGTCAGAAAGAAAGCGCTTCTCAAACAGAAGAGGATTTTGTGATGGAACATCCTGAAAACTTTAAAATCCTGCTCTGTAGGTCACGAATTTGACAGAGAAATACTGAAAATGTTCTCTGCTCCCAAAGGGGAAAAYCTGTGTTTTTTGAAGGCTGCTGATGTGCTTGTGGCAGACAGAAGAGATCTCCTTGTTCTGGAGGTGAAAAAATGTGTTTTTTTGGTCCATTTCTCCTCTGTACTGATGACTTAGATATAAAATCAAGGCAGAATCACCTGCACTRGGGAAAAGCACAATTTCTTCAGCATTAGCACTTTGCTTCCTCAACATCACTGGCTTTGTCTCAGTCTGTGTTTTGTTGGTGATAACAATAAGTGATCTCTAATCTGCTTTTTGCTGAGCCTGTGATGACGTTTGAGGTCTGGCGCTCGGTGGGAGAAGTTGCAGTGACTCTGACATTGAGCTGGGCCTCTCAGCCCAGCATAATTAGGTTTGTCTTGTTTTCCTGTTTTAATAATTGAATTTGAAAGAGMAATGGAAATAAACCAGTGGTGGGATCTGACTTAAAGTGATTAAGGCTCAGCCTGATGCTGAGATGAGCTCACAGCTCTCCTTGGAGTGTTGCTGAGTTGTGCTTGAGGCCAAGTGTTCCTTTAGGAAGGACCAGGCTTTCCTTGTGGTTTTYCAGATTTTGGCTGCCATCTATGTAGGAACAAGCACACAGGTAATAATTCTTCCAAGCTGAATATTAAGGCAGCCATTTCTGCATTTTYAGCAGCAGGATTTCCTAGAACTCCATGGAAATGGTGTGCCTGAAACTACTCCTTGTTTGCATCCCTGTAGGAACCTGGGCAGTGCATTGCACCTGCAGTTCCTGGTGTAAATAATCCCTGGGAAATGGATTTCAAATCACTCTGGAAATATGGGAACTTCCCCTCCCTCCCCCSTGGTTCTGCATATAGTTGCCATAGAGACCATGTTCCGGAGTCCTTGAAAATCCATTGTTTCTCCCAAATAAACATAAAAATCTGCAGTATTAAAGCAGCACATTTTGCAGCATCCCGTTCCCAAGCATTCCTTCATCGGGAACTGTCGTGACAGGACAAGGAGAAATGGAGTCAAACTGAAAGAGGGGCAATTTGAGTTAGAGATGAGGAAGAAGTTCTTCCCTGTGAGGGTGGGSAGGCCCTGGCACAGGGTGCCCAGAGAAGCTGTGGCTGCCCCTGGATCCYTGGAGGTGTCCCAGGCCAGGCTWGAYRAATCTTGGAGCACCCTGGGATAGTGGAAGGTGTCCCCATGRCAGGGGGTRGGATGGGATGGGTTTTCAGCTCCCTTCCAACCCAAACCAGTCTGTAAATCTGACGGGGACTTGACATCCTACAGTGTGCCAGCTCTGGATGCTGGACAAACTGATAATGGGTGTAATTAGCAGCTCCAGGGATTAGCAGGCAGTAACAAATTCAATCTGTAGTAAGCAGCRTGTCCCTTGGGAACTGGGCAAACTGGCCATGCTGGGCAGATGACGGCTTGATAGGRAAGATTGTCATCAGCAAAGGCTCAATGCTCAGGCACCCGCTCAGGGCTGGAATTACCTCCTGGAGTTGCTTTTTATTTTCCTTTTTTTTTTTTTCTGTCCCTTTTTCACTTTAAATACTTAAAAAGCTCTCATGGTTTGTTGCTTCCTGCTGGAATCTGGATCCCCCAGCTGACTCAGGGTGTCTGCTTGGCATTTCCTTGGCATTTTTTTCATACCTTTGTGAAACAGATTGGTATCCTTCTTTCCAAGTTGGGAATGTGAGGTTACATGCTTTACTCAGGGTCTGGCAGGTACTAGGCTGGGAATACTTGTAGCACGTACTACTTGTAGCATGTATGCTCCACTGCTATGTGGAGCTGTTTTACACATGGTTCAGGTATTTTCCCCAGCACACCTGGTGGGATGTGTACATGTGGATAAATTATCATTGTTACACTTTTCAACTCAATTTCTTCCTCCTTTCCTTTCTGCAGTACTGATAGTAATGATACCATATCTTGGAGGTTGGAGGCCCAAAGCTGTCTCGTTCAGAACAGGAGGTGTACTACATTTTTTTTTTTTTTAAGTTTTCAGTGATATTTTTTGAGGGTTTATTTGAATTTTTGGATCTGCTGAGATCAATTTGCAAGGCAGGAGAGAATCCTGAGCCAGCTTAGGCAAACACGAGTTGCCAGACATTCCTCTGCAATATATTCTGCTTTAGCACAGCCTGAGGGGTAGGCACAAAACACTTCTAGCTGAGTGTTGCTGTGCTTCCAGCATCTTTTTCCTGGCCACTGCCAGGAAAATTGCTCCTTTCTGGAACAATTTGTTCTGTGTGRTGTTTTAAGGTGCTGCTGTTTAAAGGTGGGCACCCCTGGTTAGGGTCAGGCTACCCTGAGGTTATCTCCCTGCTCTTCCCTTGGCTCCCTGATGTTGCTTTGGGGGTAAAGGTTATCTTTTTGTTCTTTGTATCCATGCTTTGCCACATCGATCTTCTGCTCTATTCAGAGAATTCTTAAGTACTCTAAAAGCTCCCATAAAAACCAGCAGGGTGTAATCTGGGTGTAATCCTGCCTGTTGTTTTGGCCGGGCTCCTCCGGAGCTGTTGGGAATGCCACAGGGATTCCCAAAGGACTGGGAGTGTGGGTTGCACGTGCAGCAACGTGACAGTCAAGCCAACAGGTAAGTAAAGCTTAAAGGTCAGCAGGCACAGGCTGTAATTCTTCACTGGAAACSAGTTCTCCAGCTGAGAGCAACCAGCTGCAGGTCCAAGAATTCCCCACGGAATCAACCTTTGCCCAGTGTGTGTTGAGGTGGGTGCGAATCTCYCTTTCAGGGAATCTCAGAGGTGGAGGTGCTGTTGTGGATGTGTCAAGGACAGGGGTAGGAAGATGTTTTTCCTTCTTGGATCTGAAATCTTTCTTCACAGCGCAGCAGGAATGTTTATTAAAGCTCCTTAATAGACTAAATCTAGTTCCCTGAGTTAAGTTTTGTTTTTTTGCTGCCCAGAGAGGTGAGAAAGGTGCTGTGTGTCACACTCAGTGTTTGACACCAGGTTGTGCCCTCTCAGCGTCGTCCCATGATAGGTCAGTGACAAAGAACATCTGTAGGACAGAGGAAATGTGTTTGAACTTGGAAGCCTCTGCTAAAACAGATGTTTGGGRGAATGTAATTGGCACCATGAGATAGGGATTTAAAATCAAGTTAGCAGACGGAACTATCTGGATTTGAGTTTYAGCCTCCTCCTGCCCTGTCCTCCCTCCCCCAGCCCTGATTTCAAATTGCACGTTACGGAAACGGGACGGAATGACAATGGTGCTCTTGGAATTATAGGCTGCTTGGCCAGAAGAGCTGGCAGGACAGCAAATGGAAATGTGGAGAAACACACGCCAGTTCAAACTGGGAGCATTGAGATTCATTTTGCAGCTTGTTTGTACTGCATTAAAATCTGAGATGTCGGGCGTTGTCCGGCCCTAACCTTCCACATCCTGGGGTGAGGATGCTGTSTTGTCGTTGACAATTAACCATTGTTGAGGTTATTTTGAGAACATTAAAAGCAGTTCAGTGTGGGTGCCTCACCTTTTGGGTGGGTGTTGAGAAGTGGAGGAATTTGGGCTCAGCATTTGGGTGAAGCTGTTACTCAGCCGAGCTCATTGACACTTTTTGGAGCAGAGTGTGTCCACTCAAAATTCCACTGTGATGGACCATGCCGCTCTCTGCCGTACCTCCAGTCTGCCTGAGATATTCTCTGGGTCTCTGGCCCATCCTGTTTGCTGTTCCAGCAGGAGATGTGTGGCTCTGGTGTTGGTCCATGAGGTGCTGTCACTGCACTTGGCCATCCTTATGCTCCCCAGTCACATTCCCCAAGGCAGCGCCGGCTCCTCCGCAGGCTCTGGGTGCTCTGCTCGGTCCAGCAGAGCTTGGAGCCGCTGTGGTCAGGCCGGGTCATGTGGAGAATGCTGCTCCTGGTTTGGTCAGTCTGACTCACTCTTGGCCGGGCTCTTTGGGAGCCTTGCTTGTGCTGATCTGTTGTTTCTGCCTTATTCCGGAGTTGGGAGGAATTTGTGTCCCAGTTAATTTGGTATTTGGTGTTTGGAGCAGGGGGCTCTGCAGGTTCTGCTTCCCTGATGGTGCAGTGCTCTGGAAGAACTGGGAGCTGCAACGTTTTGTCACTTAAAAAACCTTTACTGTTTAGAATTTCTTCTTGTGGATGTCATGGGGTGTTGTAACTGAGGAATAGAAAACAACTTCTGAATTCCTTTGGGAATTGGGATGGAGCTTCTCTGCCATGGAGCCAGGCTGGGAGAGCTGGGGGTGTTCACCTGGAGAAGAGAAAGCTCCAGGGAGACTCCAGAGCTCCTTCCAATGCTTAAAGGGGCTCCAGGAGAGCTGGAGAGGGACTTTGGACAAGGGACGGAGGGACAGGACATGAGGGAATGGCTTCCCACTGCCAGAGGGCAGGGATGGATGGGATATTGGAACTCCTGGCTGTGARAGTGGTGAGGCCCTGGCTCCACCTGTAGCCAGGTTGTCTACAAGAAGCTGTGGCTGCCCCAGGATCTCTGGAAGTGTCCAAGGCTAGGCTGGACAGGGTTTGGAGCAACCTGGAACAGTGGAAGGTGTCCCTGCCCATGTCAGGGGGAGGAACTGGATGAGCTTTAAGATCCCTTTCAATCCAAACCATTCTGGGATTTCAACTCTCACTGAATCTTCTGGCCACTTTTTAAGGAACAATCCAATTAAGTTAGCGAGGAGAAGCGGGTAATGGTTCCAGTAATGTCCACTGGAGCTTACCAGGAACTGTGCTTAGAAAACACCGTGTTAATTGAGTTCCTTTTGTGTGTGCACCTCTTCTTGACTCCAGCAGAATGGGAAATCCTGCAGRTGTTGTTCTTCCTGTGCTTTAGGCTCCAGCATCTGGGAGCTGCTGTCTGCTTGACTTCTCCTTAAATCTACCATCAGAGATGACGGATGAATCCTGGGTAGAGGCTGAGTTTCAGGTCTAGTGCTGCTGGTGAGCTCCTCTATCACACACATAGGAACCTATGAAATAAATCATTTCATTTAGGCAGATTTGATTGCTTTGAGTTGTAGGAGAAAATATAGTTGAAAATACAGTATTTTTCTGCTGTGAGCACTCCATTAGAAAAAGGTGCATGGTTGGGAATGCTGGGATCTGGTGGTGATTTGGTGAGAATTTATTGAAGCTGTGCTGGGGAAGAGCTTTTTTTCTGTTTGTAACCACCAACCTTTGCCCAAAAAAATGAAAAGCTTCCAGCATATCTCGGGAATATGGCCTGGAAAACGCTGGCATGTAATCTTTGAGYGAGAGAGGAATCCAGCGGGTTGGGGCAGCAGCTCTGACCAGATTGCTACTTCCCTGTTAGCTCTGATAAGAGAACTAGGTCAGTGCTGGGGAGAAGCATTTTATCACTGACTTCTCTTAGCTGAAATCCTGGGAGAGCTGAGCGCTCCTGCTCGTGTTTCCCTCGGGATCTGGAGCCCTGCTTCTCCTCCCCATGGCAGGAAGCTGCTTGGATGGGTGGCAGGAGGGAGCATCCCTGTGATGTYTCTGCAGCTCCCAGGGCTGTTGTTGAGGCTGTCGCTCTGTCTCGTGGCTGTGGATGGGATACAGTGTGCAAAGAAGCTTCTCTGGTGTTTATTCCATTGGAAAAGAAAATGAGGGATTTTTGGAGGGGATCATGTGAAAGGCCACAGCCTTCTGTGGTCGGCTGCTGGAACAGCGGTGTCGGAGGTGGGAGCGTGTGGGAGAATTCCCTTTCCTTATGCAGTAAAAAGCTTCAGTGGTGTCCAGCCACGCTGCAGCCATCTCTGCTGGCAGCAAAAGTGGAAGCTGAAATGCAGGGATCACAGAATCCCTGAATGGTTTGGGTTGGAAGGGACCTTAAAGCTCATCTCATTCCACACCCTGSCATGGGCAGAGACACCTTCCAYGCTCCAACCTGGATTTGAATACTCTGAGGYAYCTGGAATGTTCAATCCCTGCTCTCTTGGCCTTGTATTTCGTATATCTTTATGAGGTTTTGTCCTGGGTTTCGATCCTTTGTTTTTTCCTCTCCACTTTGCTCTCCTTGTTTCAGTTTAATAACCTTTTTTGCCCAGTCTGTAGTAAATTACCACCATCCCAACATCCCCTAAAACATCCCCCACCACCTAGGAGGTGGAGCAGCTTTAGTGTCAGCTGACAGAGGATGTTCTAAAAGAAATAAACCAAAAAAAAAGAGGTTGTTTGGAGGCTGCTGCTCCAGTGAGCAGGAGAACTCCCATTCCTGCTGCTGTTAYCCATCCCGCTATGGCTCCTGCTGAATTATTTTGTGTAATGATTTTTGTGTGCATTCATTGCTCTGCCTTTCTGGTAGATGACACAGATTAAATGAAGCCAGACAACGCTCTCAGTTCAGTGTAATGACTTTAACTGCGGCGTCCYTTTGTCACTGCAGATTATGGTCAATGATGTAATGTTGGATGTGGAGATACAGTGACAACGTGTGGGAGTGGTAAGATCATCCCAGAAGGGTTTGGCTTGGAAGGGAGCTTCAAGCTCATCTCATTCCACCTCCCTGCCAYRGGCAGGGACACCTTCCACAACCAGGTGATTCCCCAAGAAGATGAATTGTATCCCTGGAAATCTCAAAGTGAAAATAGCCCCAGGGGGAAGATATGAGGCGAGCACACACAGGTAAACCCTCAGGAAATAACGAGTCCTTCTCAGTGATCCTGGGAGATTTGMGCTCTAMAGGCAYTTCTGACTTAAGAGTTCTTCATATKCTAGAGGTTTTCATATGATCATTTCAGGTTACAGCTCTGAAATCCAGAGTTGTATCAAGTGTTTCACAGGTTGCAGCCAACACCTTGCRCTTCATCCAGAACAGAAATTTCAGCTTATTCAAAGTTTGGGTTATGTTACGTTTYTGAATGTGCTGGGCTCCCCAGATGAGATATAATCAAATTCCCTGGTAGTTTGTGGTTTAGGTTCCCATCCCAAAATAGATTCTTGCCAGTGGTAGAACAGCTGGAAATTTCAGTATTAAGTTCATATTCCAGCTTTTTGTCCTTAAAATGAAGTGAAATCAGATGGCAGGCTCTTGCTCAACCTAGGCTCAAGTAACCAAAGACWGAAAATAATCTGCACACAAATATGATGTGTTTTGGAATTGTGGCCATCTGTAGTAGTGTTCACCTTTGTTTTAAATAACTCTGAACAGCTGAAAACAACAGTTCTGTCAGCAATGGGCTGGATATGGATTGATTGGAAAAGGGATATGCAGAGGGAATAATATTGTGTTTTATACAGAAACTGCATCAAGGCATTCGTGGCTGTTCCTTTTTTTCTGCTAAGGTTTCATGTGAAGTTGTGGGGTGAGCTGAAGTTTTTAGTTGAAGTTTTTTAGTTGAAGTTTTTTAGCCACGTGACATTTTTTTCCCCCCACTTCCTTCCTCACCCGAGTCTTGCAAGACTTTGTGTCACGAGACTGAGTTTTTTTGATTCTGTGGATACCTGACAGGGAGATAAAGCTTCCCAAGAGCATGTAGTGACAGGACAAGGGGGAATGGGTTCAAACTGAACRAGGGTAGGTTTARATGAGATAKTAGGAGAAATTTCTTCCCTGTGAGGATGGTGAGGCCCAGGGTTCCTGAAGAGGCTGTGGCTGCCCCATCCCTGGAAGTGTCCAAGGCCAGGTTGKACAGGGCTTGGAGCAACCWGGGATAGTGRAAGGGGGTGGATCTGGATGGAGCCATCCTTGCCATGAGGAGCAGGAAGCACAAGGGGTGTTTTAATGGCTTCAAACCC